TTTGTGAAACATCCTGTACTATGTTTTGTAAAATCCCCTCGTTAGATGTCGCCTGTTGTCGTCCCCATCCTTTATTTGCAATCCCTTCTACATCTCCCACCTTGTTGTGTGTTTATTTTATTTTATTAATTAAACAATTTCAATCAATACGAATTTCGATCTCTGGCCAGCCGGCTGGAGCTACCCGAAGGCAGAACCCTGTTCTGTTTACACCTTAAAGGTTCTTAAAAATTTCTTTTTGAAAGCTTGTAAGAAAGAAGGCGCAAATATTACCCGAGCAAAGCATAAAAGGATAAGAGATTAAGATAAGAAGGGGGCGCGATCTATGCGTGAAGGTGGAAACTTGAAAAAAGTGGAAAGAGGGAAGAGGGAATAAAATACAATGCAACGTGAGAAAAGCTTGGAAAAGGCAGGGCGAAGAAAATGAGAAAGGGGTGCGAAAAGGTAACACCCAAGTTGTCTGTAGTGCTAAACCCCGTACCGAAATGCATAGGGATGAGTACCATAGGGTGGTAATATTCGTTTTGGGTAGAAACACGAAACCGGGGGGTCTGGGGGGTATGGAATACTCCCCAGTGATGGAAAACTTGAGGAGCCTTTCGCTACAATCATCATGAAATTATTTGTGTACGTAGAGGAATGAAGTGTACGTGTACTGGGGGGTATGGAATACCCCCCGGTGCAAAGTTTCCTCGCAAAACTCTACCCCTTGAGGAGTCTCTTCCTTTCCACACCCAACTTACCTTTAGTGCCACGTTGAATCACCCAGTACCGAAATGCATAGGGTGAGTACTATAGGCAGGAATACCCGTTTTCGGCAACAGCACGAAACCGGGGTATTGGGGGGGGGGGGGGGATGGGATACCCCTCATCAAAGGAAAACTTGCCTCTACAACCATCATGAAATCATTTGTGTACTCATCGTAATAAAGTCTACGTATACTGCGGGTTATTTCATATCCCCCAGACCCCAGAAAGACGCGAGTTTCGGTTAAGTTTGACGTAAATAAATTCTAACGTCGGCGAGATTCCAATATCCACTATCTCTCACCCAATTCTGTGCCAACATTTTTTGTCTTGACTTTGAAATTTGAACGGCGACCAACCTTTGAACTTTAAACGTCAAGAAACTTTTGAACCTTGGATTTTGAACGACGAACAAACTTTGGACTTTAAACCGCGATCAACCCTTGAACCTTACACGAACTTAACTTCGAAGATCACCACATGTATTGAAAGTCGTCCTCAGGAAGAGAGTGGCACTACTTTACGGTACCTGAATTTCACCTCATGGAATTTTACGTGGAGTAGAGTTAGGATATCGTTATTATCCCTATATGACCATCGCTTGAGTTGGTCCACGACTGCTATCCATCACATCATTGACAATATTCGATATGCCTGAACTCGAGGGTAGTTATAATCACTACTCCCTCTCCCCACAAGTTCAAACTTGAGGTTAATGACATCACACTCTCCCTCCGGCGTCCCTACGACAAATGTTTGATTTTTAATGTCGTGGGGTTGTTAGCCCTTAGACCTTAGTTTTTTAAAGTTACCTTCAAAATGAAATTGACACTAGAAAATCGCCTTATGAGATTTTACAAGGAGTTGAAAAACACCATAAACAAGGAGACATTGACCTCAAAAATGTAATATGACACGACAAACAATTGACGGCCTCGCAATAAATAAAGTCATTGAACTTTAATAGTCTTGAAAATGAAATGATACCACAAAACTGGGGTCATTGACCTCTGGTTACGTTAAAAATGAAGTATAACCCCATAAAATGGGGTCTTGAGCGGTGATAAACCTTTAAACTTTGAACGGTGACCAACCTTTGGCCTTTCAGCGGCCAGCAAATTTTGAACTTTGAATGTGGGCCAACCCTTGGACTTTGAACGGCGAACAACCTTTGAACTTTGAACGGTGACAAAGCTTTTCGTCTGGAGGGGCACTAGAGAACTTTGACGGCACCCAAGTTTAGCCTTATGGAATTTGAAGTTCACTTAGAATATCCCAATCGCTTGTTTTAGTCATGATGCTCAGCATACGCTATTCATGACAATATTATTCAATACGTATGAATCCAGGGGTTTTGTAATCGCTGAGTAAAGTTCAAAGTGAAAGTACATAACTGTCCAAGGTAATTATTCGTAAAGGGTAAATATCACACCAAATTTCCGGGGCGAACGACGGAACGAGGTCTTGATCTACTTCTCACTTTGACATTCTTGAGGAGAGGGATAGGTTTAGGGTTCAACGACTGCTTGAGCAAGGCTTCGTCGCTAAGTACCGAACCACCTTTGAACTTCTTCACCTTGACCAATGTGGCACCGCAAAAAACACAAACCCCAGACTTTATGGCTCTACTAGGGCTGGGCGATTACGGGTTTGAATAATCGATAATCGATTATGAAAAATAATCGATTACACTGATTAATCGATTAATCAAATAATCGTTTAATCAAATAATCGATTAATCACCTAATCGTTTAATCAAAAGTCGATTGTCACATACAAGGAGTGATAAATATCTGTTTGTATGCATTAATACGTTAATTATTTAATAATAAAAATAAAAAATAATTCCATTACTCTTTTCATCAAATCGTTCATTACTACGCAGATCGGTTAATCAATAATCAACAAAGTGTCCCTGGTTCGAATCCGGGTTCGGGCATGGATATTTGCAAATGCATAGTGGGTTGGTTGGTAGAACAGCCTTGGCTGAAACCTGCCCATTTGAAAATGAAGGTCAAAAATAAAAATAAATGATTAGGCAGCTTACTCTCCGATGAGGTGTGCTTTAGTTTTGATGATACAATCTTAATTCATTTTAGCTGCTTAAAGTGACGTTTTAACATCCGCTATAAAATAAAATAATACTTGTGAGCTGTTAGTGCTCCTTTTTGCGTAAACTGATGATCCACCTAATAATAATCAATTAAAATTTACTTAATAATTGATTAATCAAACAATCGATTAATCAAATAACCGATTAATCAAATAATCGATTAATCAAACAATCGATTAATCAAATAATCGATAATCAAATAATCGATTAATCAAATAATCGATTAATCGATTAATTTAATAGAATAATCAAACCCGATTATCGATTATCGTTTGATTATAATCGATTAATCGATTTTTTTGCCCAACGCTAGGCTCTACCGATTTCCGAAAGCAATTAAGAAACAATGCCCGACAGAAAAAAAATAACTAGATATTATAAATGCAAGTTCCTTGCACTGCAGTTGACCGATTTATTTGTTCAAATTCCAATAAAACCCCTATTCATCTGGAAAATACTTTCGAACCTCTAAATTTTGACAACCGGCAGGTTGGTTTCAGGAGTCCCAAGGGGCTCGGGGGTATCTTTCCCAACCTTGTAAAGGATCTCAAGCGCCAAAAAATTTTATACGATTCAAAGGACGTTACCACAGGTCCCTAAAACTCCAAAAGTTTTAAATGTCCAGGAATTTTAATGGTTACAAGAATTTCCAGTTCCAACGAATTGCAGAGTCAGGAGTCTCAAGAATCTCCAGATCAGTAAGCATATAGAGAATTTTAAAGAACCTCAGTTGTTTAAGGATATCCAAGAGCTTTTCGAGGTTTTTTGTATTCGGAAAAATTAGAAAGGTCTGGGGAGTTTCAACAGTTACCTTCAATAATTTAAGGTATACGAAAGTCGATCGCTAAAGAGTCTTATTGTTGTCAAAAATCCAAGAGTTCCAAAGATCTCAAGAATGTAAAGAACGTTGAAAACCTCTGATTCAAGTGTCGGTATCAAGAGTTCCAATCTTCTAAAGAAATCTCAAGGGTCTCAATGTTCTTAGAAGCCTTTTCAGTTATTCTACCCTCAAAAGTCCCCTACAGATCGAACAGCTAGGTCCATTAAGAGAAAATCTTTTGGGTGACAATTTCAAGGCTACTAAACACCTGTTAAAAGATCTTCGATAGCTTAAAGGGTCGACCATGGCTCGAAAATGCCAAGAGAATTTATTATTTAAAAAACTCTGAAGTGCAACACGCTGAAAGTACATTTATAATTGCTCGCCCGTTTGCAATCAACAAGTGCTTTACAAATTAAAAGCTTTGTTCCGGTGTTAGGTTGGAAATGTGTTTAACCTACATGAAGTCGGATAGCAAAACGTAAAAACAAACAAAACGAAACTGAGAAAAATGACATGTATTCGCAATCACGAGACAGACAAGGTTGGATCAATGAAACAGTCGCCGATTAAATAGTCAATCTGCATTAATAATCCAAATAAATAACATGGAAAGCCGCACGTGCGTTTTGTGGCCTTTTTGCGCTAATTACACGTAATGGATTGTTTATTACAGCCATTCGGTTCCTACTTTATTTATCGAGTGTGATTAAATTCAATTATATGTTGCCATTCAATTATAATTGAACTCGGCAATATACAGGGTATCGATTTTTGACGAGGTGCTGGACTTCTATTATAATGTATCGCGACAAAATTTAAATAAGACTACGTATACATTATAATTAATGCAGATTTCATGCGCGTCTTTGTACCTTCAATTTAAGTTTTAAGCCGTCACGGATCTCGAGAACGATTCGTGCTCGAAAAAACGAAATAATTCGCAAGTGAAGTGTTTTATTTTAATTTAACTGAATACATTTACGTTCGACGGATTATGAGTGACGAAAAAACCGTCGCCTAAGCTGAACAAACACATTATTACGCGTAGATTAAACCTACGAGAATTTGCACAACCGGCGAAAATTAAATTAACCCTTGAAATCTTAATTTCGATTTACATTGGAGACGTTAATTGCTTTGCCGATTATTCTGCCATTTCAAATATACCAATATTAACCGTTTACTGAACTGTAAAACATATACTTCCGTAAAGGTTAGTTATATCCAAGTAGAGAGTATTTTGATGTGATCAACCTGTAAGGCGTAACGATGTTCGAGATTTTTTTCGGTCCGTGACGACATTAAAGCTATTCTCACCTCGGGTTGACTTTCACCATGAACAATGCAGACGAGTTGCGCTTCGAAACCTTCGCCCGAATGGACGACGGCCCTCTCGACGGAAATTTCAGGTGGATCTGAAAATAAAACGAATTCCGGTTAGAAAGGCGACACATTTATTTACTCGAATCGGGCGACATCATGATAAAGCACGCGCTTCGAGGGACCATTTTTATTAAACCATTAAACCCTTTTTTGCCTTTTATCATTATCCCTTTTATCTCCTCATATACGTTATGTCCTTGCGAAGCTCACTTATATCCGAACAACGACGATATTATTGTAACTAAGCGCTAATTATGAATGAAGGACCCTTTTCGCAGCGAACCCCACGAACAGATTGGAATACGTAATTTATAGTTACGTGCGGGTTATTCGGTTTTACAATGAATCAAATTTATAATAATCAGATACGTTGTGTTTTGCGCGAGCATCTGTTACAGGCGCTTTTTCCCCAGTTTTGCTCGTTTTCAATACTCGTATGTGAGGAGGAGCGGGCGGAGAGTTTTTTAATGCTAAAAGGAAAACCCCCCCGCGATTTATATGTGAACGTGCCGGGGGTTTTGAATTATTACTCACAACTGTGGGATGTAAACGGTTGTTTTAGTTAATGAATTGGATCGTATCCGAAAAGGCGATTTTCATTGTAGTCACGTTTATACCGTCTTAATTGGCAGAGGTAAGCAGTTTGTATACCTGATCCTGTAAGACAGGCAACTCAAAGGTCTGGGATCAAGTGCTTTTAATAGTTACCCCTGCCGTTGATTGACAGCTATTTTTGCATATCGCAAAGTTCTGTTAATTTTTCTGTACTTACAATGTACATAAACCTAAAAGAAATTTAGTTTGCACAAGTTTCCGGCTCAATTTTGTGAGCGCCGAATTTAATTTCTTTTGCAAATATGGTGCACTTAAAGTTGTTGTTCCAATTGAGTTGTCGAGTAGGCATTCACTACTTTTTGGGTGTCACATTAAATTTTTAGGTGCCAAAATTTTATTTTATTTTTTTACATTTTCAAGCATACATTTTTTGTTAACTTCTTTGATTTCTCTTCAATGTCTGCTAACAACTAAATTTTATAATGCCAAACTTTATTATTTTACTGTTTTGAGGGAAATCTTACTCTGTAAATATTCAGATGTCAAAAATTGTTAAAAAAAGCTAAACGCAGTGTTAGACGTTAGGGTTTTTGTAGGTTTAGGATATTTTTTTCTAATGCACTTACACAAAAAATCTTGGGAATTCAAAACGAAGTGTGACATCCTGCTATGTTAGAGACTAGGTTGTTCGCAGATTAAAGGTATTAAAAAAATTGTAATGCAAACACACTTATTCCTGAGGAAGCCTGGCGGAGTGCCATATTTTTTTTCTAATGCAAACTTGCAAACATGGCTAAGAACAGTGAAGGAATAGTGAAACTTTTGACTTAATTTTTCGAAGATTTTTGAGTGTTACAAAAATTCCATCTTCTAACTAACTATTCCTTCTTCCATTCCACTCGATGGAAGCTTCCAGGAAGAAGGTAAGACATTTCTAAGAAGGCTCTTGTGAACGATTTTCGAGAAAAAGTTTCCTGCAGGTGTTACTAAAATAATTATCTCTAAGACGAGAGGACAATTTTTTCAATTCATCGGGTCTCGCCGATTCTTCAAATTCTTCGGAAATACTTAAAGTTCTTCAAATCCTTCAAATTCTTCAAATTCCTCAAATTCCTCTAATTTTCCAAATTCTTGTCTTCAAATTCTTCAAACCTGTCAACCTCTTCAATTTTTCAAATCCTTCAAATTCTTCAAATTCTTAAAAATTATTCAAATTCTTCAAATATTTCAAATTCTTCCAATGGTCAAATTCCTTCAATTCTTCAAATGCTTCAAATTCTTTAAATTCTACTGTTCTTTTGAATAGTTCAACCAGACTAGTTTCTTTTAAATTTTTCCGGTTCTTTAAATACTTTACGTGGATCCAGTTCTGAAGAGCCTTCCATTCCTTTGAATTTACCCGACTGTTCTATACAAACTTTTAAATTGCTCAGATCAATAAACTTCTTCAAATTCTTCAAATACGTCAAATTCTACAAATTCCTCCAATTCTTCAAAATCTTCAAATCCTTCAAATCCTTCAAATTCCTCAAATTCTTCAAAATCTTCAAATTCTTCAAATACGTCAAATTCTTCAAATTCCTCCAATTCTGCAAAATCTTCAAATACTTCAAATCCTTCAAATTCGTCAAATTCTTCTGCGATCTGCGAACTCTTCAAATTCTTCCAATCCTCAATTTTTTTCAATTCTTCAAATTCTTCAAATGCTCTAAATTCTACTGCTCCTTTGAATAGCTCAACCAGACTAGTTTCTTTTAGATTTTTACGGTTCTTTAAATACTTTACGTAGAACCAGTTCTGAAGAGCCTTCAATTCCTTTGAATTTATTTTTGTTCTATACAAATTTTTAAATGGGTCAGATCAATAAAATCCTTCAAATTCTTCAAATTATTTAAATTCTTCAAATTCTTCGTTTTTCAAATTCTTCAAACTCTTCAAATTCTTCAAATTGTTCAAATTCGTCAAATTCTGCGAACTCTTCAAAATTCGTTCAATTCTTCAAATTCTACTGTTCCTTTGAATACCTCAACCAGACTAGTTTTTTTTTTAATTTTTGACGTAGATCCAGTTCTGAAGAGCCTTCCATTCCTTTGAATTTATCCGACTTTGTTCTATACAAACTTTTAAATTGCTCAGATCAATCAAATTCTTCAAATTCTTCAAAGTTTTCAAATTCTTCAAATTCTTTAAATTATTCAAATTCTTTAAATTCTAAAAATTCTTCAAATCCTTCAACTTCCTCAAAATCTGCCAACTCTTCAAATTCTTCCAAGTCTCAAATTCTTTCAATTCTTCAAATTCTTCCAATTCTTTAAATTCTGCTGTTCCTTTGAATAGCTCAACCATCAAACTAGTAAGTTTCTTTTAAATTTTTCCGGTTCTTTTAATACCTTACGTGGATCCAGTTCTGAAGAGTCTCCCATTCCTTCGAGTTTATCCGACTTTGTTCTAACAAGTTATTAAAATTCTTCAAATTCTTCAAAATCTTCAAATTCTTCAAAACCTTCAAATTCTTCAAAACCTTCAAATTCGTCAAATTCTGCGAACTCTTCAAAATTCTTTCAATTCTTCAAATTCTTCGAATTCTTTATATTCTACTGTTCCTTTGTATTCAAAGCTCAACCAGACTAGTTTCTTTTAAATTTTTCCGGTTCTTTAAATACCTTACGTAGATCCAGTTCTGAAGAGCCTTCCATTCCTTTGAATTTATCCGACTTTGTTCTAACAAGTTATTAAAATTCTTCAAATTCTTCAAATTCTTCAAATTCTTCAAATTTTTCAAATTTTTCAAATTCTTCAAATTCTTCAAATTTTTCAAATTCTTCAAATTTTTCAAGCTTTTCAAATTCTGTAAATTCTTCAAATCCTTCACATTCTTCAAATTCGTCAAATTTTTTTAATTCTTCAATCCTTGTTTTTCAAGTTTTCTTTATTTGACCCCTTCCCCTCTTTAATAGTCCCCTACTCCTTCTCGTAATACGTCTTTCTTTTCTCCTTTTTTTGTTCTATCATCAGCTGTTTTCCCTTTTTTTCTGTTTTCCTCATTGCAATGTACCCGTTCTTCTTTTCTGTACAATATTTGTTCCACTTTTCTCTCCGTTTCTCTCTTTTCCTACTCCTACATTTTACGGCTTTATAATTTTTTGCACTCTCACTTTATTTTATTCCTTCTCATTTATTTAGCCTTTCTCTCCATTCCTTATCACCATATCATGTGCGTGTTTTATTTTTATTTTCTCATGTCTACATTAACTCAAATTCGGTTCTTGTTCTTACTAGTTCCATTCTTCTTTCATTTACTCTGATGTGATCTATTATGGACTCCTCTTTCCCTTCCGTCTCACTGTTAATTGTTCTGCCTGTTTTCTGTCAGTTCTAATATTCTAATGGTTCTAATTCTCTCTTTGCTCTTTGATGCCTCTTGTTTATCATTTCGCACCAATAGTCATTCTTCTTTCTTTCTCCTTTTTTACTTATTCTCCCTCATCTTTCATGTTTTCTTTTTTTTTAATGTTTCATGCTAAAGTGTCGTTATCACTCTTCATGTGTTTGTCCTCCAATGTTCTAATTAATTTTTGTCTACTGTTATTTTAGTACCATTTGTTCTTCCCTTTCTATCTCCATTTCCCTATCTCTTCCCGTCCCTTTGTCTCATCGCCCATTTTCTCCAAAAATGGTACTGCCACGCATACGGTAATTCGTGAAAATCTTGAAGCCTGAGCGCTGTTATGGAATAACGTAGGACGAGGGGGGATGGGGTCTAGGACTATGCCCCCCCCCCCCGTATATCCAAAGATTCGAAGGGTGCTAGAGGTAATAGAGAACGAATAGTTATCGAACCCTCTTTGCTATGGGATATTCCAGACTCCGAGTCTTTATTTCTGATGGGGAGTATTTGAATAACCCCCCCCCCCCCCTCCCGACCCTTCGGTACTACACACTTTCAAACAATGGTTAGTGTTGCCGCTCATATACGGTAATTCATGGTAGTCTTGAAAGCCGAGCACTTTTGTGGGAAAACTGGTGGGTCTGGAAGGTATTCCTCCCAGTTTTTGTGAAGCGTTTTCCTTTTTGTTCAGGGTTATCTCGAATACAAATCAAAAGAACTACATTAATTTAATTAGGTTGTTTTTTAGAATCGATGGTTTCCCTATGATACAAAACAATAAGGCCTTTCTCGAAGGGATTGTGTGTTAAAACTGGACTCCTGCTTTCTCGATTTTTTACGACCATCTCTCGTACGTAAATGATCGGACAATGAACTTTCTTTTTATATCGTCTGCTATCAAACAGCTTTCCGCTAATTTTTCGATAATTTTGGATACGAATTTGCAAGTACACTTAAAAGAATTGAAGCAATAGAATTTTTTTAAAGATAACTTCTTGAAACGTCCGCTTAATTGACCTTTTCACGAAAAGTTTGTCTGATTTCGAATTTGATTAGCTACTTAGAATTTCTTGGACCGGCGGACGGTTC